ACTATATATTGAGTGTAATATATCAAAATGAAGATAAAATTGTACTGAATCTTTTTGTTTTAAGTAGCTACTGTGTTTTACTTAGTAAAATAATGAGTATTTAGTGATAATAGAAAATTATTTAATTTAGTTATATCTCAGTGATGAACACTTTTAAAGATATAAAAGTAGGCTGCCTATATGTAAAATTTTATGAGGAACAATTTACTTAGGCAGCCAAGATAGGTTTATTTAATAATAATTTGAGAAAAGGGCAGTTTTGTTTAGAAAGGATTTGGTACAAGTGATCATCGGAAAGAGTTAGTCATTAATAATATTAGTAATATACATATTGATATTCCAAAACATTATAAATCACAAATTTATATATGTAATACATCTTACGATATACAGTATATAATCATAAATATACTGCAATATGATTTTTTTGATATGCCTTTTACAGGTATAAATAAGTCAAAGTTCCAAGTCTTACTTTTGACTGAACAGTAAAACCAAATAATAATAGTAAAACTGGTAACTATCTAAAATCTGATTAACTATTATATTAAAATTCACTAGTTTTACCAGCATCTATAGACTAAACTTTACAGCTATTTTCATTATTTCTAGACATAACTTATATCTTTAAAACTAGCTTATCTGTTAAATAATGTTTTTTAAATTAATTTATTCATATTAAATTTAATAGCATAAGTTGTTATTAATCTACATATTTAAAATCAGCAATTTAAAAACATATTTATTTATTCATGCTTATTTGTATATTTATAAATTATTCACTATTTTTCTAGTATTTATAATATAAGGTATATTTATTGATAAATATATAATATTTAAAATATATAATATAAAAAAATCTAAAAAGTTATTTGAATTTAATCAAACTGCATGATTATGTGCTTAATATGAAAATAGTAATATAAAATTTTCATATTTTAAAAAAATTAAGAAATTATTCTGTTTTAACAAAAAAAATTTCTTGCAAAACTTTAGTATAAAAGCTATTTTCATATTACCCAAATCTAATTTAAATTGAATCCTAGTTCAAACCTAATGACAGCAAAAATAAAATGTATTGGTATATTATTTAAATTTTTGTTTAAACAGAACATCTGAAAAATTATAAAAAATTTGTAAAACACAAGAAAAAAAAAATATTCAAATCTGAATACTTGATATTTATGACAGATAATTTAAAAGTTACAATTCTAAAAGAAAAAGCTTTTCTATATCAATGTTGTCTTTTTTTTTATCATGTACTTACTGAATCTAGCTTTTAAGGCATATGGCTGCACATGCAGTATCTGGTTTTAAATTACATTGAATTTTGGTTATTGTATTTGCAGCTATAGAAAATGTCTGTTCTGAAGGTATGCTTGAACCCTGTATACTCAAATAACATAATGCTATATTTGCAAGAATTGGAAAATCTCTACTAAAATAATGCCACCAATCTAACAGATTTTTAGTAAAATCAATTAGTAAAGCAAGATATCATGCAATTTTATCCTTAACAGGTACTTGTTAAGAATTTTCCTCTAAAATTAAAGATTCAAAAATGATTATTTGTTTTCTCTTGTTAGTAAATTATGAGTAAATTGAGTTGACTATATATCAATATTATTCTTATATAATTTTACTTGATTATGCAAAAGTGTGACAGCTTTATTACATTAATTAATATTCTTGAAAGTTTTGGTTTTTGAGCATAGATCTAGCAAAGCACTAATTGTTGTTGAATTATTAATATGTTCTCAATATTCTTTAAGTTTGAAATTAATTGAATCTGCTACTATGTACTTATCTAAATTAGCATCATAAGTTTGAATAAATGAATCTAAATACTGTATTAATTTAATTATAGTTAGTCTTACATCACTTATAGTAGGATATGTTAAGGTTGATAATATTTTAGTTGCTATAAAAATTGGTTCAAGTAATTAAATAATATTATTAACTACTAGCCAGTCATTGTTCTGTAAATATAAAGAAGAAAGGTCTCAGTTTTTAATAATAAAAATATCTAATATGTCTTGCATTTGAGAAAATTTTTTTACCTTAGATAGTTGCTGTTTCACCTTGTTTCTATATCTAAGTTAGGTTTTAATTCAGATATATTTTCAAGTTTGTAAATTGTTTTTAAAGAATCACTAAGTCTTGTTGAATTTCAAATTTTTATTACAAAATCTTTAATCTTTTTTATAACTAATGATACTAATTGCAATCTATGTTGTACAACAATATTAAGTATATGTGCAGAACATCATTAATGAATTAATTCATAATTATTTAAACTTTGTTTAAGTTCTTGTCCTGCAGCTATCATAGATTGTGCATTATCAGTTGTAATACCTAACAACTTTTTAGTAATTTTAGTCTGATCTAATACTTGCATAATAGCTTGTTTAATATTTACAGCCATATGTTGCCCAGTAAGAAGAAGAAGGTCAAGTAAAAAATGTTGTGCTTGCTCTTCACTATTAATAAAATGAACTGTAACTCCAAGATATAATTGCATCATAATAGAACTTCAAATATCACATGTAATTGATACTTTTTTAGACTTTTCAAGTTCTTTTAAAATAATTTTGCATATATTATTATATTTATTTAAAATTTGAGTTCGTATAGTTTTTTGACAAGATATTTGATATCGAGCATCAAATGTATTTAACATAGTAATAAAGTAAAAATTATCAACAATAGAAAAAGAAAGCTGACAACAAACTACAAAATCTAGAATCTGATCTGTAAGTTGAAGATATCATTGATCTGTTTTTGAATATAGTTTATCTACAAACTTATCAAGAGTGCTTTGTCGATTACCAACTAGATTACTATATCTGCTATGTAAATGTTTAGCAAGAGTTTCTGGTGTATTGGTTAACTTATATTTAAGGTGACATATAGTACAAATAAGTAATTTAAGTTCATTATTAGTGTCATATTCTTTTGTAAAATGCTTCCAAATCTAAAGAAGCCTCTCACAAATTAAATATAACAGAGCTAAGTTTATTTTCTTCACTGATGCTTATCAATTCATTAGTTTGTTCGCTTTCTGTTACATCAATAATACTGTCAGTTTCAAAACTACTTTTAGTTTGAAAATTTTCATGTTGGATACTTGATTCTGACATAGTTGTTTTTTGTTTTTTAGACATTTTTTAGCAAAATAAATTTTGTTTCATAAATAAAAACTTATACAAATCAATTTTTTTATTTATATAATTAAATAGTTTCAATACAAAATTTAGACTATACAATTATACACATCAATATATTGTATTATTATAAAAAATTATAGACCTTATAGATAAAACTTTCTTATTTGGTATCACTCATTTTCACTAAATATGACCCATCTTTATACCTGTGCTTATCAAGAATTAAACCTGTAGATACATATTTAAATTATCACTATACTAAATATGCATGTACATAATCAGTATATATGCACAAAAATTTATAAGTAATTAGGTCACAATCAGGTATATACATATGTACAAGAATTTATAAGTGACTAGATTATATATATACAAAAATTTATAAGTAATTTATAAGCAATTCATAATCATGCTAATAATTTCTGATCAAATAATTATTTTTATTCTTAATAGTCATGCAATATTACATCAATGATTGGCTCAAATTTTATTTAATCTTATCATTTATGTTAAATAATCACTGAAATTAAAGATTTTTGCCTATATATTATTATTACAGTATAATATAAGTGCAATTTATGTAATTTTCAATCTTACTTACAGTTTTCTTTAGTAGCTCTCATTTATAGAAATTTTACTTGTGATTTTACACAGATCAAATAATAGCAAATCGGATACAAATTAGGTATATATATGATTGTTAAACTAATTATTACTCGATTTGATATTAATGTATGTTGCAATATAAATTAACATTAGTTGGATAGTAATTAGTTTAAAATCAGATACTAATACCTTGTTTTGTATCTGATTTGCTATTATCCGATTTGTATTATTTGTATAAACCATATTAAAAACTTGTATGTTTTTTTTTAAAATAACAGTTTTTTAAGAAAATAAAAATCCAGATACATACTGCATAATATAGTTATCATTATGCTTAATCCAAAATGTAATCAACATTCAAAGCATCATTTTTTTTGTATTGCTAAAATATAATCTTCCAAAAATATTTTAATGCAAATATCATAAATAATTCAAGCTCTTACAAAAAACAGAACAATAACAAGTTTTTAAATATTGTTTTATATTTGATACTGAAATTTGAATCTATTTTAATATGCATTTTTAGATGAATGATATGTAATAGTTATATCCTAGATAATTTTGTATAAGTAGTGCTTGACAAAATCAAGTTTTTACTTGATAAAGTCAAATATCAGATCTTTAAAATCAGTTAATTATTTTTAAAAATCCAACAAATTGCTAGTAATTTTTGTATAATATATATATATACTATATATATATATTATGCAAAAATTACTAGCAATTTGTTGGATTTTTAAAAATAATCAAATGATTTAAGATCCAATATTTGACTTAATCAAATACTTAATTTTTAAATAAAAAATTGATTTTGTCAAGTACTATATATAAGCAAAAATTTATTATAAAAGTATAGCTAATATATTAGCTGATTATGCAGGCAATATAATAGTCATATTTTTACAGTAAATTTTCACTTAAACCAAATTACCCAGATTTTAAAATAACAGGTTTTCAAAAATCTAAAAAACCAGATATATATCATATAATATAGTTATTATCATGCTTAATCAAAAATATAATCAACACCTCAAGCATTATTTTTTTGTATTAGAATATAATTCTACAAAAACCTTGATGCAATAATTCAAGTTCTTATGTAAATTAGAATAATAATAAAGTCTTTAGATATTGTTTTATGCTTGATACCAAAATTGAATCTATTTAATATATATATTTTTTTAGAGTTTAGAGCTAGAGACACCAGACTTCAGCATCAGCCATAATAATGAATAATGTATAATAGTTATATTCTGGGTAATTTTGTATAAACAAAAATTTACTGTAAAAATATAACATATTAGCTATCTATACAATTGATACATCAGTCATATTTTCACAATAAATTCTTGCTTAAACCAAATTACCCAATTTATCTTCTCTGCTATTCATGTAATATAATTTTAGCTATAGATAATATAGTACTAATCACTTAAATCAAATAGATATATATATATATAGTAGAAATAAGTATATGAAAAAAGTAGTTAACTAGCAGATAATATGTAAATACAGTGTTTGTAAATTAATTATATTCAAACTAAAGTGATGCAAATAAAAATTATATTGTTTAATGAAACTTTGATAAAACTTACTTTTCGAGTTTAATACAGTCAGCCTTCATTAATATCAACCCATTTGAATTAAATAATTATATTGATATATGTAAGTATTGATAATAACAGAATAGTTTTAATATAGCCTGAGCCTACTTTTTCTCAATAAGAGGTTGATATTAATGAGGGTTGATCATACTTAATTTAAAAATTTCATAAAAACAGACCATTACTATAGAAAATATATTTACTATAAGATTTCTAACACACTTACTAAAGAAAAAGGTGAAAAATCTGTTCACAACAATAATATAATAGAAGTTTAATTTCAAGTTAAATTTTCTGTAATGTAACTTGGGTTATAAGAAAAATTTTGCTAAGTCATTTCATATGAAGCAACCCAGGTTATACTTCATATAAAGCAACCCAAGTTATAAGAAAATTTTTGCTTTAGGTCACTTTATATAGAGCAACCTGAAGCATTAACCTGGAGCACAACTCAGAGTATAACCTGGAGCATAACTCGGAGTATTAACCTGAAGCACAATCTGAAGTACAACCTGGAGCATTAACCTGGAGCACAACCTGAAGCACAACTCAGAGTATAATTTGGAGTATTAATTTGAAGTATAATCCAGGTTGGGTTGAAGTAAAACTTGCTCCAACTAATTTTAATCCAACTTACTCTACTTCATTCTATTAACAACCCTATTGGGCATGCATAGTGAACATTGAAATAAAGTTGAAAAAGAAGCTATCACTTTGTGATGATGGTTTAAAAAAGCTCTAGAACCATAGAAGAAGTGGTTGGTGAAAACCAAAAGTCTCTTATAAAGTAAACAACTGTGTTGGATATATTATTTTTATACAACTATAAAACTTACAAGGAACTTCCAAAAGAGTTAAGCATTCACAAAAGCTATAATTTGGTTTCACCTTATACCTTCTTTTTTTTTCAAAGAAAATTTTGTAAAAAGTGGGTGATTCAATTTATCCTCTCCAAAAGATTGATACATAAAACACCAAAACAGTTAGCAGTATTTACTTTCTAATCAGGATTGTGTAAACAATACAGCAATACAAACACAACTTATACATGTGTCTCGAACCATTAAAATTCTGCGAAATACTGTTTTCAGACTAAACAGTACCTTATGCCAACTCTCTATGTTCAAGTTGAAGTTTTATTCTATATAGTTTTTTATTAAATATTCTAGTAGATAGAAAAATAGTAGAGTTATTTCTATTTAGTATAGTTTATAATTTTTAAAAGCCTGACAAAAAAAGAGGTTTACAAATAGCAACTCTCTCCAATGATCACTTGGACACAAAATAGCCAAAAGGAAAAAAGAAGATTTCTGCAAAATCAGCAATAAGAAACACCTTAAGTGGCACTAAATAAAAAGAAGCAACAACATAGAAAGCAATAAAAAGTATAGAAAAGAAGTGTACTGCAAAAATAATAGTATAGCCACAAAAAAAAGAAGAAAAAATTAGAAAATTTTCTTGAAAAACAGCAATAGTAAGAAATTGTCACCAGACCCTGTACATAGATCTGTTTACATTACACAAAAACATGAAATAGCAAAACAAAACAGACATGTGCAAACTACCAAACTAGAATAGATAGACAGGTTATGCAACAAGTAAACAAAGTTTGTATAAGAAAAACAGAGTAAATAGGAAATTTACAGAACCAATCAGAAACATATAGACATAAGTACAATATGAGATTAGAAGAGTGTAGAGAAAGTCTATCAACAATTTTTATAAAAAGAGCATATTGGGCAATAAATAGAATACACAATAAAATATTCTTTAACCAGTTAAGTATGACATATATAATACTAAACAGAGAAGACAAAATCATTGCGATGCTTACAAAGCAAAAACCTGAAGAAGTTGCATTGTTAAGAGTAACAAGAGAATTGATCGAAAAAGCAGAAAAAGAACAGCCAGAAAAGAAGTTAGACTTTACAAAGCAAGACAGAAACATGATAATAATTGAGATTGAAGAAAAAGACAAACAAGAAACAGAAAAATCAGCACAACAAGAAGCAATAAGAAAAAAGAAAGAACAAGAAAATATACATAAAGAAAACCAAAAAATTGAAAAAAAGACAGAGAAAGAAAATATGAACAAGAGAAAACTATTTGATAAGAACTTCGGAACAACAAAAGAAGCAAAAACAAAGGTAAGTACAGAAAGCATAAATAGAATAAAAGAGAAATTATTAGTACAGAAAACTGAAACTAGAAAAGAACAAACAAAAGAGACCAGACAAGAAGACATAGAAATGGATGGTAAAGAATCAAGACAAGGTTAAACAATAGAAGAAAAAGAAAGAGGAAAAAGAAGAAAACAAGAAGTTGAAAGAGAAATAGATATAGTAGAAATTCTTTAGAGAAAAGTATATGGGCACCAAGCAAAAGAAACTGCAACAAAGACAACAGTCTATTAGCCAACATCCCTGCACACAATGTATCTGAAGGTTTAAAAGAAAAGCATATGAAGTTTATTAGCTGGTCATTAAAAGATAATGAACATATTAAGGACATTAGAGAAGTCTTTAAGCTAGGAAACTTGTAGATTGAAGTGGACTTCGACTGTGAATTCAGCAGAAATGAAGTGATACAAAGAATTAGAAAAAAAAAAAGCAACTGATACAAGATGATACTAGAGGAAGATATTGAAGAAAGAAGAAAGAAACAAAAGAAATATGAAGAAGAATATCAAGATAAAAAAGCCAATATACCAAATTACAAAAGAAAAAGATATAGAAAAGAAAAAAACAAAGATGAACTAAAAGAAGACCAAAGAAATAATAATGACAA